ATCCGAGAAGCAAGATGAGCGCATTTCCTCTCCGCCCGCCGTGCCTTCGGTCCAACACCATCTGGGAAGCTAATGGGGGAGCCGAGGGGGAGATCGGACAGCTCGCGGCCGCCCGCCGGGGCACGGCTCAGCTCTTAGGGCTGGCGGGGGTGGTTTGAAGGAGGAGAGAAACAGCGAACCAAAGAGCAGCGGCAGCCCGGGCGGGGCGGGCTCCTGCCCCTCGCCGCGCGGAGCCGCCGCCGCGCCGACAGCGCCGGTGTGCGCGGAGCGCCCGGAGCGGGGCCGCCGGCCCGGCCCGGCCCGGTGAGTCTGTGCGGGGCATGCGGGTCGGCACGGAGTGGCGGGGCGGGCTGCCCGCGGCGGGCGGGTCGCGTTGGTGTGGCTGTCCCCGGGTTCTCCTTACGGGGAACTTTGTGTTGTGCGCGGTGTCCGTCTCGGTGGGTACCGGGGCACAGGCAAGGTCGGGCCGCTGGGACGGGGCACTGCGCCCACCAAAGGTCCTGCTGAGCTTTGGGCATCCCTGTCCCTGCATCCCGGGCGGGAGAGTGGCCGCAGCCCCTCGGGGGACTCGGCGCGACCGAGCCGAGTGAACGAAGACCTCTCGGCCATCGCCCTTTGCTGGGGACACAGCCCGGGGTGTCCCGGGGCCAGCGCCGATCTCGGACATGTACAGTCCATGCAAAATGCATCATTGAGCCTCGCTGCCTGTGCAGTGTTACGCGGCATGAGTTTAAAACTTCCTTCTTTCTTCTGAGATACACAACAGCTTGCTGAAGAGCACAGGGAGGAGTGAAGCTTTCAGTGGAGCTGGAGGGATCCTTTCAGTAGAGCTGCTCTTCATTTGTGTAAGCATGCTTCTGAAGGTGGCCAGCAGGTATTTGTAGCTCAAACCAGAGTGAGCTAGGGCTGTGATACTGGAAGTCAATGAGCTGTAAAACTGATGTGCAGAAGAGCCTTACTGGCCTTAGCATCTTCAGCTTGGCAGTCTCTCACTGAAGCAGTTCTTTTGGGAGCTGCCATGCTAAAATCCTTCAGGAAAATAGAACATGTTGCTATGGGCATCTCTTACGTGGTCAGGCAAGAGGAGCAGTGTCTCTAAGCAAACATTACTATTAATATGTTTTTAATGAGTGCTGTAGGCCTCACCCATAGCCAGTGTCTCCTTCAGGCACAAGTGTTTGCCATGTGCTGCCAGGCAAGGACCTGAGCTGCCATGAAAGCAGCGCTTGGACAGGAGAGTCACTACGGTGCAGCATATCGTGTTGTGTGAGGCTTCTTAGTTTGGTTTGGTAATGATGGTAATGCTTTTCTGACTAAAGTGATTCTGGCTACCTTCATAGGCATCTGCTTCTAAAATCAGATTTTCCTTGCTATAAGTGAAAGGAGGTCTCTCAGTCCTCAAACAATAGAGCATATAAATTAGGAATAAAAACTTCAAGCCTTCTCTTCAACTTTGTTTTCAGCACAATAGCTTCATTCTGCCCTCACATGGGAACTGCACATATTAAGTGTGATTGGCACAGATGTAGAGAGGTGAATTGATTTCCCAAATTCAGAGAACCAGTGTGAGAACTGGGACCTACCCTGAGGGTTTCTGGGCTCCCAGCTGTAGATGACACTATTTTTTGCTTGCATGACTTGTGTGGACTCAGTGACCTATCTGTGTTCACACCAGTGGCATCTGCAAGGAAGAAGCAACCTGTGCACACCAAAGGCACTGAGCTTGTTTATCAAGAGCTCAGGTGGTGGGCCCTCACCTAACTGCCTTCCTATTTTTGTTGTTTGGAGCATGACTATATACTAAGAACATTTTCTTTTTTTTTTTTTTTTAACACTGCTTTCCCCCCCTCAAGGCAGACTACATAGCCCTGGTCAGGGACTGAGGAATTTGGTTTTACTGAGTGATTGTTTGGGCCATCTGATGACTAGGGAAGCCAAAAGCTGCATGTCCTACTCCCCTTTTAGTTTTTTGTGGTGCTATCCATGGCAATAAGGGCTCTTGTGTGTCTCTGCATGATGTCTCAGAGGGATGCTAATGCTTGTGATTCTTCTTGCATGGCCATGACTAACACGGGAAAGGAATATGATCCACAGAAACCTAACACTGGTGTTTCACAAGCTGATCTCACTAATTTCTGAGTTTGTTTTTTAAGTAAAACTGTATGGTTTTCCAAAGGACAATTTTAGTACAGCTTTTTTTCAACTGTCTATCTGTTGAGTGTGGTTTCAGTATCTTGGGGCTTGCCTGCAAATGAATTAACCCAGTCTAGGAGCTCCATGAAGAGCCTGCATGAGTCTCCCTGCTGTCCTGTGCTGTCCTGACGTGCTCACTCTGCTCTGTGGAATTGCAATCCACAGCAATGGTGCAATGGAAAAGGAAGCTCGAAAAAGCTTCTGGCTTGTTCCTTTAGATCCCCTTTAAAATGGATTGTTGGGTGGGCCAGCTTTTTCTCTCCCAAGTGTTATTACAATCCATTTATACTGGGGAAAAAGCACGTTTGCTGCCAGGCAGCATATTTTCCATCAGCACTTGTAATTGTTGGGTGGCGGAGAGAGGTAAAGACTCTGGTTTCCAGGCTGGAGAGAGACAACGTGGCCAGGGTGTGCACTGGGCAGCATGTGCCCAACCATGAATTCCAGGTTTTGCAGGGATGTGGGCTCAGCTGTGTAAGCAAAACCTTCTGCCTGCTCACTCCTTGGAGCAGGCGGGGAGGCAGGTAGCCAGCCTTCAAGCAGTTTGAGGGATGGAGAGCTGGCCTGGGGTGTAGCTGCAGCAGGGCTCTTTTTTTTAGCTTGTTTATACTTACACACACACGTGGGCCATGCAAAGTTGGCTGAGCCAACCTTGACCAGCAGCGAAACAAACAGGTTTTACTGCCATGACCTGAAGGCCAGATCAGCTGCTGAGCTTCACTGGAGCAGGGACAGCTTTCGTTTCTGTCAAGGAGAGGAGGCTCTCATATAGGGCTGACTCAAAACAAACATTGTGCTGGTTTGTTCAGACTTCCTCATGGAAACAGTGTTAAGAAGGCTTATGCAAGACAAAGAGGTGATGCTAGGTAGCCAGCATGACTTCGCTGAGAGCAAATCATGCCTCACCAATCTGGTGGCCTTCTGTGATGGAGGGAGTACAATGTGTGGCAAGGGAAGACAGACTGATGTAATTCACCTAGACGTATGTAAGACCTTTGACATGATTCTGTATGATATTGTCATCTCCAAATTGGAGAGAAATTAATTGGAAGGGTTGACTATTCAGTGGATAAGGATTTGGCTGGATGGGCGCATCCAGAGAGTTGTGGCCATTGGCTCTCTGTCAGTGGTGTCTCTCAGGGACTGGTGCTCTTTAATACCTGTGTCAGTGGCACAGTGAGATCGAGTGCACCCTCAGCAGCTTTGCAGATGACACACAGCTGACTGGTACTGTTGGCACAACAGAGGGAAGAGATGGCATCCAGGAAGAGCTGGGTCCACAATTCAACAAGGCCAAGTGCAAGATGCTGCACCTGGTTTGGGACAACCCCAGCTATGAGAACAGACTGGGAGAACTCATTGAGAGCAGCCCTGTGGAGAATGATTTGGGGTATCTGAATGAAAGGCTGGATCAACACAGCAATGTGTGCCTGTAGCCCAGAAAGCCAGACATGTCCTGGGCTGCATCCAAAGCAGCACAGCCAGCAGGTCAAGGGAGGGGATTCTGCCCCTCTACTCCACTGTGCTGAGACTCCACAGTGCTGCATCCATCATCCATCAGCACAGGAAGGACATGGAACTCCTGGAGCAGATACAAAGGAGGCCACAAAGATGTTGAGAAGGCTGCAGCACCTCTCCTATGGAAACAGACTGAGACAGTTGTTCAGCCTGCTGGTTATAGAGAGACATCATTGTGGCCTTCCAGTACCCATAAGGCTTGGTCAAGGTCTCTCTAATGTCTATAAACATTAGTTGAGGGACACCCTAACTTAAACTCTCTCTTTTGAGATTTAAAAATTATCTTAACAAGTGAATTATATGTCCCATAGCAGCAGTTCCTGCCCAGCATTTAATAGCTCCTTTCCTCCAAGCAGACACACCTGCTATACCTCACTGGCCCTGAGCCACCATGAGACCAGACACTGCAGGCCCTGAGGGTTTACAAATATCACCTGGGATATTACAGTGCAGATCCAGACCTCTGGGACTTGGGGTGTCTTTCTCCTGTGTTCAGCAGTCTGAACAGCAGTTCAGTGCTGCTGCTGCTGCTGCTGTGTTGTGGCACACCAGTTGAGCAGAGGCACCAGCAGCCCTGCAAGATGGGAGGGCTGGGCAGAACCTATTTGCCCAATTTGGCCTCAGAATGGAAGATGGAAACAGAGAAGTGAAACACACAGTCTGGTACACACAGTCTGGTCAAAGCAGGTAAATGGGAGGAGGGAGGTGAATTGAAGGAGGTCAAGAGAGCAAGGATGCGTCAACCTAATGCTGAGCCCTTAAAAGGGGCTTAAAGCTCAGCTCAGCCCACACTGATCGTTTCATCAGACAGTGGGAAGGTTGAAGTGGTGGTAGCAGGAAATGAGGGTGGTGTGTTCCTCCTCCTCAGCCCATCTGTGCAGCTGGGGAGGAGGAAAGTCTCTGTTGTCTGCCTGCAACCAGCTTGTTGGGTCTTCTCCTTCTGGCTGGGGGCCTTTGCTTCCTGTTGCATATAAAATTTCTTCACTTCTCTATCCTAGAATATTGTAGTTTATCTTCTGCGGTTCTGTGTTTCACATCTTCCTGTGCTCTTACACTTGCTTCCTGCCTCTTCTGTGTTTTCTGTTTCTCCCATTAGCTCCCTAAACCAACTCCCCAAGCAAGTATTTCTACCTTACAAGCTGCTTACATCTTTTTCTAGACAAACCAATCCCAGACAAAACTGTCCCAGCCCTTGCACTTACCAGCTGCTCATTTGACCCTAATCCACTTTAAAAGGAGAGTGCTAGTGGGTGAGGATGGAGTCAGAGGAGGGAGGTCCTTGCTTGTTGACACATCTGCATGGCTGAGAGACCCATAGTGTGATTTACACACTTTCCCATGGGAGAAGTAGCGTTTTAACTCTTCCCTGATCACTTCAATCTGATTATTTCTGGTCTCTTGAGCTTTTATGATCATTTTATTAGGTAAGGGGGTGAGTTAATCTCTCTTTTAATCAATCCGTGATTTAGATAACTGCATTATGTACCCATCTTCTGCATGCACTTCCTCATTCATTCTCTTGTGTTTTGCAGACTTCCTGGCTGTGCTTCAGTGGTGAGTGGCTGAATTTAGTCTTCTCTGCATCACGGTAATAGTAGTAATGTGAAGTTTAATGAGCACCTGCAAAGCTGTGTAGCAGGTAAGTGCTCCAGGGGTCATTCTTCCTTCTAGATTTTATGTGATTTAAAAAGGCTTCTTGATGGGATCTCACTAGGAGATCTTGAGCCTTGCAGCAGAAATGCTGAAAGGAAATTGGTGTGGCTCATATTTTAGAAATGTTCCCAGCAGTAAGGTTCAGACAGCTTCTTGCAAAGCAAAAGTAGCAATGTTTTGAAGGTTTAATTTGGAAATGGCTTCAGTGGAGAAGATCAGTGTTGAAAGGCTCTCTCCTTCAGACTTTCAATATAAAATTGTTCTTACCTGACTGGTTGGTACAGTTGGGATCTAGTCAGAGAGTGGTGGCAGAGGGGAACCAAAGGGTCCAAAGCTTTGCTGACATCAGCTACTGATGCATTTTCTGCTGGGGAGGAGAACTTGGCAGAAGTACCTTACCCAGACTGGGAAAGTACTGGAATTCCCCTCTTTTAAGTGTTAGAGGGAGAGCAGATGCCTCAAAGTGCCTGGATGACTTCCAGATGATCAAGGGTGACAGCAGAGGGAGACGAAGGCAAATCATGCTTTCACAAGCCAGCGATGTGTAGAGTTTTCATGTTTGTATGCAAACCCCTAAAAACACACTGAAAGGAGAACTGGGTGAAACCAAGACGTCTGGCAGTGCTGCTCTGCGAGTGTGTGACAGGAGGCTCTGCGGGTAGCAGTGGTGAGAGGGCAAGAACTGGAGCTGATGACAGAGGGAGCTGCCAGAGCAACAGTCCTGGCTGCCACAATGTCCTGCTCCACCTCTGAGTACCTGTTAGTTCATGCACTCCACGTGATTTATTTATTTTTAATTTATTTATTCTGGATCAGTGCTGGGTGGTGTCTGTCCCCTTTTTCCCATCACAGAGTTCAAACAGCTGCTCTGCTCTAGGAACGCTCAGCTTAGAGAGTTCCCTGGCATGCTCCTCCAGCCAGCCCTGATCAAAGCTGTGAGAGCTGGCCCACTGCCATTCTCCTGTGTGTAAATGAAGCTCTTTCTCTTTTTCCTTTCCATTCACCATCTTTCATTATTATCCCTCCTCCAGAGGCAGGTTTTTCTGGCTGATCTAGCACATTATTTGTATCAGCAATATTTGCCTCAAGGCAGAGATGCTTTTTCAGCAGTTAAACAGAAAACATCTGATGCATCCCACTGCCATGTATGTGGCTCAGGAAAACCAAGCATGGTGTTGGCAAGGATGAGGACCATTGCAGCCAGTTGTTGCAGATTTTAAGTCCTGTTAGGCACAGTCTCCAGCTCATAGGATTATTCTGGTTGCCTGGCAAAGGAAAACTGTTACCATTCCTTCACTTCTGAAACCAGGGGAAGAGCACGTAGAGAAGGTTCTTGTGCCTGAGCAGGAAAAGGGACATGAGTTAGAAGGTGTCAGCTGAGCCACCTGTGTAACCAACTCATCTTTCCCTGGGTTGCCTCTGGGGATGGTGGGTGCCTTCAGTTGAAAAGGTAGTGTTTGTGGTAAAACCCAGAAAAAACAATGTAAATCCGCTTGAGAATGCCTTGCATTCAGCTCTTCCGAATTGCAGAGGGTTTGGTGATGAATGGTGAGCACCTGATGAGGAGTGGGAGCAAATGGTTCCCACGCTGTCTGCAAGGAGGTAAAAGAGCTCCCTAAGACAAGACACCACCTGCCTGTGCCAGGATCCCAGCAAGGATCCAAACAGCTTGTTTTGGAGAAAGCACATGTGCTGATAAGGAAACTTTCCTGCAGGTAGGGGCAGCTAAGCAGTCGTCTAGACTGCCTTGGGAGGCAGAGATTTGCTGAAAGTTTTTCAGAACGAAGTAAGCAGAGACTTGCCAGGAATCATCCAGGCACAGTGTAAGCCATGCGTGTAGGCAGTGGGAAGAAACTCTATTGCTTTTTCAGACGTCTTTTTCCTCCTATTTTTAAGCTCTTGTAGAGTGTTAGCACGTACCAGAGGTGGAGCTAAGGAGATGTTCTCAAGCTTAAAATGTCACACTTGATAATCATCACACTGTAATGCTTCTCAGAGGGGCTTCATCTTCTGTATCTGCACCCAGAATGCTTCGATCCTAATCTATTTCCTCTTGGATGTTCAGGTACCTTACTGCCACTGGTTTCAGAGGAGAATTTGACTTTAAAGGCCTCTGGGGATTTAGCAACCAAATACCTTGGGACTGTTGGAAATGTGAGGGAAAATACTTGAGGTTTCAGCAGCACAGACACCTCTGCACTGCAGATTTCAACTCATTCATGGTAATTAAAAATTACCCTTATCTTCCATTCTTGCAGGGGCAAGAATGGAAGGGAATGGAATCCACCAGTTGACCCTCCCCTCCCGTAACACACAGTGACACAAATTATCTGGCACAGTTGGTGACTTACGGACAGAGCTCTAGTGTGGTCCCACCTAGTGAGCTGGCTATGCTCAGTCTAAGAATCATGGCCATGCTCTTCTGCAGCCAAAGTCAAAAGATGGTCTGAAGGTGCTTGGATGATGTTTATCCCGCCTTCCCTTTGACTCATAGCTGCACTGTGCACTGGGAATGGGTGCAGGGCTCTGATCTCACGCTCTGACAGAGTTACAAGAAGAAACGTTGACTGAAAGGGTTGTGTTTGTATGCTAAGTCATCCACAACACATGCTCTGAGCTCAGCCTTGTATTTGCTGCCAGTCCTGGATGCTTTGGGTCTCCCATGTGGAGCTGGAGGCTTTGCTCCTTGCTGAGCTCCTTGCCTGCTGCAGCAGAGGGGGTTTTTTGCCTGTGAGCAGGGGCCCCACAGCTCTGACTCACAGTTCCCATTCCGTTGTGACTTAGCCTTTAAGTGAGCCGAGAGGCTGTCCCTTGGCTTTCAAACAAAGCCTTCCTTTGTTGTGCCCAGGGTATAAAGAAAGTAACCGTATGTGCTCACCCCACACATCCCAAATGAAAACCGCGTGGCTTCACAACCTTAATAAATGTGTGTTTGATACTTCTGCTGCAGCACTGCAAGTTACATTGCTCCTTTCCCCTTGAGTCTTTTTAGAGGTTTTCTTCCCAGCATTCAGTTTACAAATTCTTCAGCAAAACAAGAGCTTAGAGATGTTTCCTTTTCTCGGTAAGAAGAGGGGACTGAGCAGAGAGCAAATTAAAATTATTCAATATGGGTGCATGTGACAATAGGCTGTCTCTGAGTCATTCCCTTGGTGCAAATGGCTCTGGGTTGGTGGCCAGGGGTGCTGAAAGAATGAGCTTCATGGAAATATTGTACAGAAGTGGGGCAGTTTGTTTTCTTGTATGACTTTGCTTTCTTCTGCTGCTTTTTATTTATTCAAACTCATTTTGAAGAGTAGGATTAGCCAGAACTACTCTGCAGCCAACATATTTGTGTGCATGCGTCTGCCTTGGCAGTTTTTAGGTTTATGGCAAGTGAGCCAAGACTGAGATTTCTGCTTCCCAAAGCATTTGTGTTGTTTCTCTTGATCTTTTCTAGAGTGAGTAATGAAGTAAGAGGGTTTGATTCTTCCTCAGAGGCTGTGTGCAATGCACAGGGTCTCTGCTTAGATCAGGGAACCATCCTGGTGAGGGACAAGGAAATGGTGCACTGCAGTAAAAGTGCTTTTGTTCTCTCTTCCTTCCACACCCTCTACCCATCCCTGCAGGGGCTTTCACAGTCTCTTGGGTTTTGTTCTGTTCTTTACTTTATTTAAAGAACTATATTGTGTTAAAACAACAACAACAAAAAAAAAAGCCGGGATTTCAGGCAATGGAATAAAGCATTGCTTTTGATTTATGTGGTTTTGGCAATAGCCAGCTTTTAAATACAGTTCTTTCCCAATTGTTTGAATACAAACAGCAGTGACTAGTTAGCAAAACAATGGTCCAATATCACACAAACCTTCAATCCTATCCAGTGTTTTGGGTCCTATTTAAGCAGATACTTGGACCTGCAGATTTCTTGACCTATGAGTGTGGCTTTGTCACTGAGTCAAGACTGTGATGGAGTAGAAGATCTCAGATCAGCCAAATTCCCAACCTGCAATGATAATTTGTTTTTGTTCAGCACCTCAGTGTGGAAGTATCTGGAAGTAGTCATACTGTGATTTCTAGTGTCTGTAATATATAAGTGCTCATTGTTCATAACTTGAATGGGACTCCATAGTTTCACATGTAAAACGTAATCACTCTGTGAGTCATGTCTGAGCCCTGCCAATATTCACATGTGTTCTTCTGAGATGTGCTAGATAGAGTGCTGTATCCCTGCTGGGAAATCAACATTCTAGTGATGTTTCCACCAATTATTTTAATACCAAGCCATTGGTTCCAATGGTGTACGATTAAGTTGAATGTACAAGGATGGATATGCTTACCACAGGATGAGGAGAGCCAGAGTAACCACTAGGCAGTGGTTTAACAACACTCGTGTGGGGTTTTTCCACCTTGCTGAGAATTAACTGAAAAAAGGAGGGAAAAGGAGGGCAGATTTAAACAAACATCTTGACAATTGATCTCTGTGTACTCACCACCTCTCGCTGAGGTGACTGCCAGGTGGGATCCATGAGCCATGGCTGCCTGCAAGGAGCTGTTGTGTGGCTGAGGAGGTGACAGCCAGAGCAGGGCTCAACGTAAGCACCAGGTGGAGGCCAGAGAGGATCTGTGCAATGGCAGTGCTCCATCCATTTTAGTTGACACTATCAGGCTTTTGGTGGAGCAGCAGGGGTGTTTGTCCATCTGTGCTGATGAAAGATTGTGCAAGGGAATGACCTGCTATTGCCCAGGCTCCCATCATGCTGGGTTGGAGGACGAGGGTCCTGGTAAGGATGGTAGCCTAAGGGTTTTTTTTCTTTGCCTGTGGCTTTTCTCCTCTTAAAAAAAAAACAACAAACCAACCAAAAAAAAACAACAAAACCCACACAAGTTTGGTCTACTCCAGTTGTTTTCCTCACTATTAACAGACAAAACCAAACAAAATTTATTTGGCTTAAAAAGGCAAGCCGTTCCTGGCTGTGGTCCTACTATAACAGCTCAATCCGTGGGTGA